ATATGCTGCCCTTACTATGCCATTTATATGTATTTCTGGAGACAAATCTGCCAGTATGTTTACTCCTAGATCTCTCTCATTTTCTGTCTCTTGAAGTTGTACTCCAGCCACCGAGTAGTCAAGCTTGGGCCTTCTTGCACTTGTACCCATTCTCATTACCTTACATTTTGAAGTATTGAATTTCACTAGCCACTTTTCTGACCACTCATGCAGATTATTTAGATCCTCCTGAAGTTCTCTACCATTGTTCTCGTTTTTTACTTTCTTCACAATCTTTGCATCATCTGCAAACATATTCATGAATGAATTTACAGACTCTGGTAGGTCATTTACATATACAAGGAACAAAAGTCACCCTAAAACTGAACCCTGTGGAACTCCACTACTAACTCTTCTCCATTCAGACACTGAGTGTCTTACTCTAACCCTCTGTTCCCTTCCTTCTCAGTAAGTTTTTATCCATTCCAAAACATTTCCACCTATTCTAGCCATTGCTTGCAGCTTCCTAATAAGTCTCCCATGTGGAACAGTGCCAAACGCTTTCTGGAAGTCTAGGAATATGCAATCTGCCCAGCCCTCTCTTTCCTGTAAGATTCGGCTTACCTCATCATAGAATTCTAATAAGTTTGTTACTGTTGATCTACCTTCTCTTAAGCCATGTTGCCTCACTGACAAAAAGTTGAAGGATTCCAAGTGAAGAGAGATATGTTTCTTTAGAAGTTTCTCCATAACTTTGCAAACTATGCTGGTCAAGGAAACTGGTCTATAGATCAGAGCCGTATCCCTCCTTCCCTTTTTGAAGATAGGTCTCACATTTGCTTGTTTCCAGCATCTTGGAATCTCCCCTGATTCCAGTGACTTTTTAAATATGATACTTAGTGCCAATGATATTGAGTTTGCGCATTTTTTAAGCACATGAGGGGATATGTCATCAGGACCTGTAGCTTTATGAACATCTAAATCCATCAGCGCTTTGCATACCTCTGTGGCTGTAAGGTTGATGTTCTCTAATACCGGCCCTTGAGCTTCTATCTCTGCAATCTGAGGGGGTGGGGTATTTTCTACTGTAAATACTAACTGAAACTCCTTGTTCAATTCTTTAAAGATCTCTTCATCCGTCTCAGTGATGCTTCCATCCACTCTCTTTAGCCTTAAAACCTGTTCTTTTACCTTCAGTTTTCCTCTGATAAAGCTGTGGAAAAGCTTGGGATTTTCTTTAGCCTTCCTGGTGATGTCCCTCTCATAGTCTCTCTCTGCCTCTCTCCTTTTACTTAGGTAGTCATTTCTTGCTCTTTTGTAGGTTTGCCAGGCATTTATGTTTTTTCTCCTCCAATACCTTTTCCAGCATTTGTCTCTCCACTCCTTAGCTCTTTTACATCCATTATCGAACCATTTCTCTCTGGCATGAATTGCGGTGTTTGGACCCAGACCATCGATTTTTTATATTGTATATTGGTGCTTATCTGTTGCGCGATGTACCGAGATGCTATCTGATATAGCCTAAATGGTCATCCGCAAAATTTTAAAGGGTATAGTTTTATTTCTATTGATCATGAATATGACTTAGATCTTCCGTTACTGCCCACGTCGATGCGTTAGGAAGGGCATCCAGCCTTAAGTCCTGAACCTCAGCGCGGGTTTCACCCTCAAGTAGGCATTAATAGTGGCAAAAAAAAAATTAAATGGTCAGCTAAATTAGGGCACAGGGACAGCGGCAGCTCTGGGGTGGAGCGTGTGAATCAGAATGCAACTTTGGCTGGTTCTATCCCACCGACGGGTGTAAGGATTGAGATCCTGCCTTAATACCTCCAGTTTCGTGTCTGTGACCACCCCTATTCGAATGGGAACTGGCACAAAATGGTCCATTATAGCTTGGGTACAGAAAACTACATAACAGATATAGGAAAATTTTTTGTGGCACGAAAAATTACCTGTAAGTGCCGATAGCAATGTCACTAATACAATACTACTGCCCTAGCCAGGATTGTCAAACCTTGGTTTTCATTACTGGTTTCTTTAGGTTAAGTGTGATTAATCTAAGGCAGGACTTCAGCCTTCGGAGACATAAAAAAAAAAAAAAAAAAAAAAAAACTATCAATCTTAAATAAGAAAAAAATATCTTGATTGCTCTGCAAGTCTTAGGGTAAAAATATTACTTACTCTTTCTCTTCGGCAAGTAGGACAACATTCTGTTACAGTTCGTTGCGATTCTTTACATACATCAGTCAATATTATTACTGATGACTGTATAGTGAATGATGTTTGCATTGGTGTCTATTTTTGAGAGAAATTTATGATCTGCCATACACTTAAGCCTCACTAATCACATCCTCAAGAGGTCGATTCCAATCTTCTGCAAGTGCAGCGTTGCCTGAGCCTTTTCTGTAGTACACCGAGGGCAGTTTGGGCACTCTTGAGTCATTCCCACTAATGTAAGTGTAGTGGCTAGCACACTCGGCTCACAACCGAGAAATCTCGGGTTCGAATCCAGGGCGAGGAAGAAACACTTGGGCACGTTTCTGTACACCCAATTGTCTCTGTTCACCTTGCAGTATAAGGTACCTGACGTTCAGTCGATCGTTGTGGGTGCTGCACAGGGATGGTACTGCTTCAAGCTTGAGCAAAAATGCCCAAACCACTGATTAAGTCAAAGACTGTTGATGAAATTAAGTCTCCCGTCTTTGCACACCCTTTATCAGTTTGGCCTGGCATTCATATATTAGCCATGTCACCGTGCCAAAGTGGTAGCGTTCGCAATTTTGAGTCATCGGGTCGAGAGTTCGCTAGCCTCCACGGTCTGTTAGAAAGGGCATTCACTCAGGGTAATGACTATATCTGCTTCTACAAATTAACATTAAGATACCTAGGTTGAATGGGGGTCCGAGGATGTTCAGTGGTAGTGCACGCGAGTCGGGAAGAGACGAATGAAAGTTTCATCCCATTGTGGGCGTTAGGAAGGGTATGCAACCTTATTTCCCCAACTCCAATATCTCTTATGTCCATCCAATGGGGACTGAGGCGAAATCAGGCAAAAACTCAAGGCGTGGGAGACATCCAGGACTCCAAATTAAAGAAAATAAATAAAATTTCCTTGAGACTGCATTATTCATTAACAAAGCGATTTCGAGGGTTTTAAACATTTATAATAAGAATATTCGGATATAAAAAAAAAAACACAATCGGGTAATATTACTCTGACCATCCCTTTTATATATTTTTACATTATTAAGAATTATCACCATATGCTGTGATGCGACGTTTTTATATCAAATTTATTTTCAAGACTTTAAGTGTAAATATATCTAAAGGCGACATATTATCAAAAATATAGTATAAAAAAAATCCGGTTCAGAGCACAGGGACGGTCTCACAACACACCTCCTCAACAAGGTGTCCAGCAGGGGATTGACGTAAAATGAAGGTGAAGTAACCTTCCCTCCCTTTTTTCATTTTCAGAATGTGATGTACTAAATACTTCGATTAAAATTATTGGGTGAAAGTACAAATCTTTATGTAGTGTTCCAGACTAAACACTTTTGTGTTTGACTAAGAGTTAAAAAATGCCAGTATGGAAAATATGACAATCGCATACTTAATGTTCTCTTCTAAATATTTCATTGTTAAAGCAAACATTCAAGGAAATCACAGAAATTATTATAAGCTTACAAATAAATTTCTGCTATATGAAGAACATCCCAATTGATATGTAGTGAAATTATTTTACAAAATAACGTGAATTTTGCGAGTGCATTTATGATTCATTTAGTCATCGGAATAGTAGAAACACAAGAATAAAAATTAAAAGCTTTTATGAAACATTTCATCAAAAGGTTCAACTGTATCAAGTGTTTTGGAGAATAAAAAGTTAAGTGCGGTGTATTCATTGCAATATTACGAGTTTGACTGTCAAGATATATTTGAAATATTCTTCACATACATGTGGTTGACCCCCCAAGTCTGTCGATCCAGCGTTTAGTTACGTCCCATGGTCCGAGGTTAGGAGCGGAATTCACTCCGGGTAATTATCACACCTGCCAAACCCAGTCCTTAGCAAGAAGGCACTGCCGTAGGTCTTAGCATAAGTGTCCGAGACGTAATAGCGAACACATGACAGTTACATGTGGCTTGCTGGACCATTCCTGATTTCTTTTGATCCAGGACTCATTTAATATTCGGAGTAGACCTCAACCAAGAGATTCGAAAACTTTAGAATTTTTCACGTCACAAGTATTTTACTTCTGACAGGACTGTATCTAATAATCTCCAACTACTTACCGGTCATCTTCATAAGCTCTGCATCTCATAAGGGATATCAAACATCATTGTGTAAACCATAAATTCATCACCACTTCTCACCTGCCTTATTTTTCTAGTTTTCATCTAATGACATATCATAATAGTTCTGGCTATTTAAGTTAATATGTGCTATACTTTTTATTTTCTCCTTTTCCGAATCTATTTAAAACTGTCAATTTTAATATAAACTTAAGCCGGTTATATAAATTTCAAGATGTATAGAACTCCCAAGCAAATAAAACGTCAACATAAGTCTATAGCACGTGAGCTGTCCAGCAAGGACCTTAAAATACGGTTTGTATTTTGTCGATATAAAACAGCCATATTCCCATTTATCCGGGAAGAAAATATGCAGGAGGGGATTCCCAGGCCCCTCGCCCAGCCCATTTAGTTTATTTTTACTACACACTGGGGAGCATGAAGAAAGTGTTCTTGCCCCCCTCCCTCTGGTTTTTATCATATCAAAATATGAAAACATTTTTCAAGATATAGAAATCGATATCACAAGATACAGATATCCATTTTCAACTTGTTTGCGTCCACCCTCATTTGAATGGGGACAACTTGTGACACACAATTCCCTAAGAAGCGCTGTATTTAAGTCACAAGACACCATGCTTCATATATCTCCAAGGAAGACAATCTATATAGAGCTTCTCCCATGGCTGTAAACTGATCTCTTAGCCAGAAATTAATTTACTGTTATAAAGACCTGGTTAAAATGTGCAGATAATTACTGTACATAAAACAACCCATTAGTTCTTAAACTCTTCCTCGTTATGATTTCTTTCAGTATTTACAGTCACAATACTTGGAAAAGCAATATCAGGAGATATAAGAAAATATCGTAGGTTCAATTTTCATGGTTAAAATTTTGATTGATACTTACCATATATACAACAAGGTCTCAATTCTTAAGCTATTCCTTATGATTTTCTGTACAGAGTTTATATTCACATAATTGTAATATTTGAAAAAAAAAAAAAAAAAAGGAATATTAGGAGATAAAAGAAAATCTCATGGCATCAATTTTCCTATTCAAATTGTGATCTGTTTTACATATTTGACAGTACAAAAAAGTAGTAGGTTTGCTTCCTCTGCATGAGAGGGGCAGTCTTTCGGGTCTAATTGACCCATCATCACGCGCTACAGGCTACATAAAATGTACAATTTCTACATCCACCCACAGTTCAAAAAGCAAATAAATTATTTATTCTTCATTTTTTTTTATAATTTTAAGTCCGTCCTAGAGAAAAATGAAAATAAAATAAAAGAGAAAAAGAGAGGTCAATGGCAACAACATGTGCCTATCACTTGTGTTTTGTTTACATTTTCTTCAGACATTTCCATTATTTTTTCCCAGTGTTCTCTCCCCCTCCTTCTACAGTACCTTTTTTTTTTTTTTTTAAAGAAAAACACAGTTTCAATATTTCAATATTTTAAACAAATATAACAACATGACATATGTGAGAAACACTACAAGAAACATACATCCCTCAAAACTACTAGTTTTTTTACTCACATTTACACCAACGATGAGATCAATATACAAAAAATGAAAGTTAAGGTGGTGGAAAGATTTAAGCGGCAGCAGGGAAGCCGGGGGGGAGAGGCTGAGAACACGCCCCAATGTGGTAATGGTCAGGGGGATCGTTGTGAGGGAATGGGAGGCATGAAATTACATCACCAAGGAACCATTTTCGATCCCCTCCCCCCTTTCATTAAAGGAAAATCTTCCCTGCATACTTTATTATATAACATCACTATATACCATTCCCATTAGCTGAATTAACGCTTTTCAGCGTCAGTCCACGTCAACCCGGCTAGAGCCACCTTAGGGCCAGGAAATTGGCTTTTATGTGCAGGTATATATCTCAACAACATACAAGAAAAGTTTTTGTTTCGATTTCCTCTCAGGAATCTAACATGGAAATTTATACTACCACTGCGAGGGTGCTCGGCAGTTAACGGAACACCCCCACTCCCCACAATCACTTCTTTTCAAGGGCACAAACGATAATCTCTAAACTCTTTTCATGCACAGGAAAAGTCTCCACGGCCACGCTTCGTAATGGTGCACATCTTAAAGATATCGAACACTACCATTGCAAATGGGGACCCCTCCCTAGTCTCACGTCACTATCGGTAAGTACACCATCAACATACACACATTTAGAGAAATCCTTTAATAAAAAGGATGGTTCATAGATCTCTGCCCTTCTACTTCACGATGTGGACATGATATCTGGTCATATACGCCAGTCTAGTTTTCACAAAAAAATATATTCATAGAAAAAATAATAAAAGGACTGCAAATCCATACAGATTCTTCAGCCATTGGCCATCAAGTCTTAACGAAGTAATAGATAATATTTGCACTCAAAATTAGGAAACTTATCAATCTTTCTTTACAAAAGAAATAAAATAAGAGTAGCCAACAAAACTTTCTCTCCTTTTTTTTCTGAAACAGTAGTTCTCTTCCACCGACATAAAACGAGTCATAACCATCACTTTTCTCGTGAGACATTCGCTATCTACGCATTAAACAAAAGTAACAGTAATTAAAAAAAAATAGTGAGTCATGAGTAAACAGAATCACAGATTCCACTAAATTACTAGTTGTTTGAGCTACTTTCATGATTCTGGCTCTTTTTTCACTGTCTTTTCAACTATTTCCTCTTTCACTTCAGTCTTTCTCTGGATTTCTTTGCCAGCGGCCATCAGACACGCTAACGAGTCTTTCATGTCGTGATAAATAATGTTCTTTATCTGAAGTTTGTCTTCATGGTTGGTGTGAGTGTCACTTAAGTGGCGGAACTCTTGGGTTAAGTGGAAGCAATAGGCAATGTTTTCAGGGGACACAAAGTCTTCCGCCACTTTCACGCAATTATGCAGGTTCCGTACCTGAAACGTTTAAAACCGAATTTTAATATAACATAATATTGCATATGTAGAAAAGATACTTGGAGAATTACCATAACTCGTGGAAAAGAAACATCAATTTCGAATATATTTTACTAGTACAGCTTTTCCCTTTGTTATAAATTTGCTACCTATAATCCATATATCACTGCCAATAATTATTTATCTTCCACTTTATGACCATATAACAATATGGTATTACAGTCCCTTTACCAAGAAAATGGAGAAAACATTGTTTGTTAGAGACATAAAAACCAAAAAATAATCTAGGAACGTAACAAT